ATATAAATATCGATAGTAAAATCGATAAAAATATCGATAACAAAGTCCATAAAAATATCGATAACAAAAACGATTACACAATATATAAAGAAATCTATTACAAAATCGAATAAATTTCGACCGATTAAAATATCGATAGCTAAATCAATAACAATATCGTTAAAATTTTCGATAACAAATACCGATAACACAACCGATAAAATATCTATCATTATATCGATAAGTCCCGAGAATTCAGAAAATCTCTAAAATCACGAAATAGTTCCTAGATTGAGTCTCCGTCTATATCTTTTTCTCTATAATTACCTGTATTGTAATCTTTCTTCCTCTATCTTCATCTTTACTTTTATCGCTAACATCATCCTCATATTTTTCATTATATCTATCTATAACTTATCACAATATGCTTTATCTACGTATTCCCTTTCGCCTTTGCCTTTTATAAATATTGCGCCATCTGTTATTCAAAAGGCGAAATACTTACCCACACATACTTTTTATCTCCTTCTCTCACTTCCAGTGCGTGCACGCGTTTGCAAAATGATGACGAAGTTATTTTGTATGGAAAATTATTTATAACCATATATTTGAATCAAATAAATATAACTTGGAAGATACCAACCAATACTTCCCATATACCCAATGAAAGGAAAACACTGGAATTTTTGAATAAAGAAAACAATTATTTTGGAAATAAAAAAAAATTTGCGAATTTTTTCAACATTTTTTCTGTTAAGTTCCAACTAAGCATTTACATAGATAAAAGATAAAAATAAATATATACTTTTGCTAAGTATTTGGCCGAGCTTCTCTTTCAATTAGTGGTGTGCAAAATAATTTCCCTGAATAACAGACACTACTGGAAGGACTTCTGGCAGGTCGTATTTGTCGAGCTACATTTGTATATACATATATATACTTGTATCGGAAATAAACACAAATGTGTTTTTGTACATACATTCATCTTCAATTAACATTGTTCACACATACATATGAACATACTTATATTTATTTGAGTATAAGTAAATGTATTTTCGAATATTTGCGTAGAGCATGTATGTATGTAGCTCACTCATTGGACTGAAACATTTGTTGACCGGAAATTTGTTACAAAATGTTAAATTAACAATTGATTATGTGACACTGTGTTTATCCATATAAACATGTGAATTCATATGAAAATGGCTGTGTTGCAGGAATGGAAAATCAAATCTTCAAATTGTACTTAAGTTGAGGAAAAAAATGTTTCTAAAAGCTGACGAATGTACCTAAAAAATTAGGATGTAAATTTTTTTACACATTTCACATCACAACAAATCTATTTAACAGTGCGAAAATACGAATTTTCAATGCCTGACTTTGGGATTCAACTTCGCTAATATGTTTAAATCTTTTCAAACTGGAAGAACGTTTCGAGGCTAAATAAAGTTTTAGACAAGGCGAATCGATATGTTGCTCAAAATCCTACCTACGTGCTGCAACAACTTGCCACCATTCGCCGAGAGCTTTTTACACTATGCTCGCTACCCTCTTTGTATGTATGTAAGCCAGGTTCTCGCTTACGCTTGGCCTCTTTGTATGCCGCCAAAATGTTGACTCGGCTTGTAACAGATCTACTAAATATATAATTTATGTACATAAATCAATCGATTTTTTCTTATTGAGCCTCGATACACTTGTCTTTTCAGATCGTCTGAAACAGGGTTTAATTGGGTGAGAAGGGTAGTTTACCTCAGCAATTTCAGACGCCGAAAAAGGCAGTATGACTTCGGTCTGAAACCCACACATTGAAATATATCTGCACTGGTCTCAAACGGTCTTAAAAGACTTGTGTACTTTCGCCTGTTAAGTCTGCTCAGACCGCTGAAGCTCATCAAATCCATTTGAAAAAGTTGCTTTTACTTATTTTACCTCTCTCGATCTTTAGAAGGAAGAAAAAGTCCCGAACTGGTACTCAACTAGTACCGAGATGGTCCTGAACAAGCCCCGTAATTATTATCAAAAGACTTTTATAATATAAGTCTCAAAACAAAAGTCTTTGAAGACTTAAAAATTATTATCTCGGTGATAATTATTATGAAAAGACTTTTATTAAACAGATTTTCTCACGCATAATTACTATTAAAAGACAATTCTTACGAAAATTTGAATGACTTTTTTAAAACTCCAACATGAAATAATTATTTTTCGAGAGAACAAATCTGCACCTAGGTTATGCTATCCAAGCCCAGATGGATTCGTCTGCACTAAGTTGGTACCTATGTACTTATTTAGCTAAGATGAAAATGTACCGAAAATGCTATATATGTACATATGTAATGAATTTGAAAAAGGTACAATTGTATCTACTTTTCCATTACTGCTGCTGTGCTGTGGCTTTACTAAAACAGTGGCATTTATCTCAGTGACAATGTGTCCATCGGGCATGATGATGCACACGTGATCGGCAAGCGATGTATCCATCTGCCCTTTTCGACTGGCTTACTAAAATATTTTGCATGCAAATAAACGAGCTATAAATTAAAATTTAATACTTGTATGAATGTGCTCCATGTATAAGTGTAGATGTATTGTCGCATGTAGGTATACATGCGTAATTCCCATGAGCATTCAAGTGCTGCAGCTAGGAAATATTTGTCTATATTAAATTCCGTAATGAAGAGAAACCTTAATTTACCATCGATTCGTTTCAACGTACACATACATACATACATACATAGAATTTATTTGAGCTTAAAGCTGAATCACTCCGGTCTCGATAAATTAAAATTAAAATACGAAAACTTTGCTTATACATAAATATGTATTGGATATATAGATCTGAGAAAAATTTAGATTATTTGGATACCAAATTATATATAAAAAAGTTTTTACAATTGCACTAGTGTGGGAGTTCGTGAAATGGAACACTTTTTTCAAATAATATTTTTCTTAAGATCAAAACTGGGGTTGAGTTTAAGATCGAGATTGAGGTTGAGATTGAGAATGAAATAACTGTTCATTATTTTGCATAAAAATACTCATAAGATGGGCCGTCATTTTTTGTTAAAGTCATCAGATCTGCACAGTTAGTTCGATTTTCATAACTGTTGTATGAAATATCAAAATATGGGTGTCAAACGAAGGTATGATTAGAAATCTTTAGTTAGAAAAATTATAATATTTTCGAGGTACTTAAAGAAGGTTGCCATCAGTTAAAAAAAAAATTGAATTCAAATTATTTAATAAGTTAAATTTATTTTAAGAGATTGGTATGAATCGAAATGAGTTGGAAAGGCTTTATTTCCGAACAATTTAAAAAAAGGTTGCCACATGCTAAAAAAAATCAGATTGTACTTGTATTGCTACAAATATCTAATTGAGACATGTATCACAATATAGTAAGTGTCAGTCGAAATAGGTTTAAGAAGGTTTTAGGTTAAAAATATTTTGAATAAGGTTGCCACCTGGTTGATTTTATTTACACAGACTTCTCCAAAGTATTTGATGAGGTAGGCACTCAATACTATAATAACAAGTTAGCTGGTCTGGGCTTTAATCCTACCCGTATATCGTGGATTAGATCCTACTTCTCTTTTCGTAAGTGTGTAGTCGTTGTCGATAATTCTGCGTCTCTTGCATTCATTGCCTCCTCTAGCGTTCCCCAAGGGAAGTG